CTGATGCACGCAACACCCGCTGAGTGGCATTAAACAGCTTGAAAGATCAAAGACCATTTTTAATCTAACTCCGACTGGATTCGTCTGTAAGAAGAAAGTCATATACACCTAGGATGGCTCTGGGGTGAGTAAAACAGCCTAATTTTCATTTTTGGGTGAACTAACCCTTTAAGTAATTTTTATTAACATGCCTTAGAAAAAAAAAAACATTACTGGTGTGCATCTTGAGACAAAACAAAGGCACTGATATGTTTTAAGATCAATCAGTGCAAGTTTCTTTCAGTTGAAACAGCTCAGATTTACATTTAATCTGGGACTAGGTTTAAGCCTTGTCTGTGAAACCGGGGGTTTATGTTATAGTTATGTAAAATGTGTATACATATCATACGAAAATAGTAACACTTTTCTGTGCACTTGTTGTGCACGCAATACTCTAATAATTAATGACATGGCATTTTTAGTGGAAAAGTAGTTGGTAATACGCATCGGGACACAAACATCTGGTTTCTTGTAAATTTTAGCATTTATTTCACATGTTGAGTTGTAGAATATGTATACGCTGCTACAAGTCTTCAGTGCAAAAATAGCTTGTAGATAAAACAAGAGGACAGGGACATGTGCCACACACAAAATAATTCCTCATTATTTGTGCCTGTCCAACTTTATTTGCCAAAATGTGATGATTTATAATGTTGCTTGAAAGTTAAGCTCCGTTCGGTTGAAAATCACATGTTCATTCCATGTTTTAGTTCACAGAAACTGTTGATGTAACCATTGGACTGCCAGAAATATTTTGATGATGGTTATTTTAAAATCGCATTTATAGCGTGATTTCCAGGAAATTTGACTTTTTATCTCGTTCTCCCAGGATCAGCCCTTTCCTATGACATTCTGCATAGTTTACTACTGAACAATGGCAAATTTGTTACAATGTGTACAAGGAAAGTAACATTTTGCAGTGAACAAAGTGGAGCTCCCATTGAAGGACAAAAAGCTATCTCTAAAATAAAGGATTGCTTTGTTTAAAGCACCCATACAACCATGCCAATGTGCATACTTTCTTTAGATTTCAACTTTCATGTGCCCTTGAGTTGAAGATGAGGTCATGTCTGTCTTGTTTTGTCCTTTTCTGCTGTAAAGTTAGGAGTCATCAGTGCAGAATCATAAAAACCAAGCTGTGCAGGTAACTGTTCTGCAGTACACTATCCTATAAATCCTAATACTTCATAACCCAAGAATGCAACCGATCAAGGTCAGACGTGATATATTTCCTAAGCTATTATCATAATACAATTTTTTTTAATTCAAGTGTTATTTTTGATCATTGACCAGAAATCTCCTCTTTTTAATATTAGTCTTATTAATATTATACACACATTACTTACAATTTATACTGTCATAAATCTGACTGGCCAGTAAAAGTGAGTGAGTCACAAGGAGAATGTCCAGTTGGTGATTTTGAATTTTGGACTACTTTCTTCTCCAGACCAACGGTTGATTGATTCATTCAGTTTGGCACTGTCTACTGTCCAGGAAATGATTTGCATAATGTTCTGCAAGATATTTAAAATTTCATGCAGACTGATACACACGTGTCTATTTCTACTCATTCATTTATAATAGTTAAGCTGCTAGATTTTTACAGACTCTCTTCACTGACATATGTCTAAAGCCATAATGCTGTATTGCTCTGATTCAGTATTAATTATATTCTTTATGATTTTGCTAACAACATTATGAATATTGTTTATAAATATATATCCCTGTGTTAAGCACATAATATGGAGTTAAGATGAACGTGTCTTAACGAATCTGAAATCTTTTCAGAAAAAGAACCCGCAATAGGTTCACTTAAGCAATGTGTTTTCTAAACCACCTGCAATTACATGCTTTGACAAAGATCATTGAGATCTATTCATTGCAAGTGAGATGTTTAATATATTAAATTATCTATTCGTTACTATGTGCACATTTATTCACTTTGCTCTTTAGAAAATGACGCCGCCTTTTAACTCACATTGGTGTGGTAGGGAGGCCATTTCCATTAGATGAGTTTATTTTCTGTCCAATACTGAGTGCTTTGCTAGAAAGGTGACTGTAGAGTTTGAGACTGTTGTAATGGCGTGCTCTCACGTGATCATCTTAATGTAAAGCTTTTGTTGTCTCAGTGGAGCCTGTTTTGTTTGCAGACCACGTGCTCATGTTGGTGTCAAGAACCCATTTAAGACTGGGTTAGTTAAAGGATTATTTTTTTAAAGGATTATTTTAAAGCTTCTCTACTAAAATTGATACTGGATAAATAAAGGTACACTACCAGTCAAAAGTTTGGAAACATCTACTCATTTTTACTAATTAACACAAAATAATGGTAAAGTCATTAAAACTATAAAATACTTTTTTTTTTTTACTGTCAAAAAAAATTAAGAAATTCTTATCCGGCCTATCAATTTAAAACATTTTAAAGTTTAGTTTTGTAAATGTATATTTGTCTACAAGTTAGTAGATTAAGTAATTAACCTTAACATCACAAGGTTTTTAAGATAACGAAATGCACAAATTCACTTAAGTGTGTCCAAACTTGAGGCTGGTAGTGTATGCTTCCTGCTAAATTAATAAATTGGTTATAAATGAAGAATTTTATATATATATATATATATATATATATAATTGAATTCCAATTCACTGTATATGTCATTTTGGTCAATAAAATATTTTAATTCAATGGGAAAATACTATTTAAAAAATATTTTAGTACATGCTCTGTTTTTTTTCAGCATTTTGGGGGAGAAGAAAACTTATTTATGGTCTTAACAATCCTGAATCTGTGCCTCTCTCTTAGTGTAAAGTAAGAATACATAGAAAACAATAACATTTAAACAATTTTCATAAAATACTCAAATCTTCTCAAGTATAGCATAAATGATCTTTCAAAGAGTTCTATACATATACAGGTGCATCTCAATAAATTAGAATGTCGTGGAAAAGTTCATTTATTTCAGTAATTCAACTCAAATTGTGAAACTTGTGTATTAAATAAATTCAATGCACACAGACTGAAGTAGTTTAAGTCTTTGGTTCTTTTAATTGTGATGATTTTGGCTCACATTTAACAAAAACCCACCAATTCACAAAATCATCACAATTAAAAGAACCAAAGACTTAAACTACTTCAGTCTGTGTGCATTGAATTTATTTAATACACGAGTTTCACAATTTGAGTTGAATTACTGAAATAAATGAACTTTTCCATGAAATTCTAATTTATTGAGATGCACCTGTATTAACCGGTTAACATCTGCACGCTCAATATGGCAAGCCCCTTTATCTTAAAATATTCCAAGCGTTACTCATCGTAATTGCATTTTTACTAGTAAGAATTACAATTACAGAGCTCTCTAATTGTAATTGTTACTAGTAAAATATCAATTGTAGAGCTCTGTAATTAAAAATAAATGGAATGGAAACATATGACTAGTAAAAATTAATTTGTAGAGCTCTCTAATTGAATTGTTACTAGTAAAATATCAATTGTAGAGCTCTGTAATTAAAAATAAATGGAATGGAAACATATGACTAGTAAAAATTAATTTGTAGAGCTCTCTAATTGAATTGTTACTAGTAAAATATCAATTGTAGAGCTCTGTAATTAAAAATAAATGGAATGGAAACATATGACTAGTAAAAATTAATTTGTAGAGCTCTCTAATTGAATTGTTACTAGTAAAAATGCAATTACGACGAGTAACACTGGGATTATTTTAAGATAAAACGGCTTGCCATACGCTCCACACAGAAGAGTACTTTTTTTTCCTTCACTTTCCCATTTTATTTATTTATTTCGCATTTCTAAGAACATACACCATCAATGCCAGGGGTACATACAAT